CAGGAGAGAATAACTTTTTGTCTATTCTAAGTTTTTTGCCCTAGGTCTTTAGTGAGAACACCCAAGTTAGTAAGTCGGTGTTCTCTGCCCATAGAGTATCCCTAAATGCAAGCTGTTTCTTTCCTTTGAGGTCTTTCTTGTTGCCATCCTCTCACTTGTTGTGTAGTGGGTTGTTGAAAACTGCTGAGAAAGTTAGGATGTTTCCCCGCTGTTCCAGGCTTTAATGCCCTGCATTGCGTGAGGAGCATTGCCCTGGCCTTTTATCCTGTCCCATGGTTTAAACTGAGACAGTTTAAACTCTGACAGTTAACATTTTTCCAACGAAGATGAATCCAGTTTTTCACTACCTAGGAATCTGCTAAAGATTCTAGCAGTCCAAGCAGCTGTGGATGCTCTCCTAATAACGTAAATGACCAGAAGTCCAGGCCCCAGTCAATAACCAAGCCAGTAGCAATGAGCACCCTAGCACTCAGATTTGTGGTCTCTAAATACCAAGTCCCACTAAAAGGAACTGCAGCTTCCTTGAGAAATGGCTGATGCAAGTTTCGAGGTAGGAAATCTGTAAGTTGGAACTTCCCAGAAAAGCAAGGAAGTTATAAAAAATTCTGGGTTTACGCAGGAAGGGGAACATCACACACCAGGGCCTGTCGTGGGGTGGGGGGGAGCAGGGAGGGATAGCATTAGGAGATATACCTAATGTAAATGACGAGTTAGTGGGTACAGCACACCAACATGGCACATGTATACATATATAACAAACCTGCACATTGTGCACATGTACCCTAAAACTTAAAGTATGATAAAAAATAAATTTAAAAAAAAAAGAAAGTATTGAAAAAAAAAAACCTTCTGGGTTTATGTAAAGAGACTCAGGAGCCAATAGGCTCCTACTGGACAAAGACAGGTGAGTTGAGCATCATTAACAGTCTTAACTTTAGTGCATTGCAACACATCAGATATGGTTAAATGTAGGAGTTTATAATGATACTTTAAAGAGAGAAATCTAGTCCCTAATTGCTTGATCTTCTCTCTGGTAATTATTAGGGAAATTAAGAGTCACAGTTACAAGAAGCCACAGAGAAACAGGCATCATCCAGAAGGGCAGTGTATCCCATGCCCATAGCTGTGCCCTGCCCGTGGCCCATTAAACAGCGGCCATGAGACCCTTTCCTGTGGCACGTGTGTGTGCACGTGTGTGTGCACGTGTGTGTGCTCTTCACCAGCGGGGTAGCTGCAGTCCTACTGCGTCTCTTCTTACTGTGCTGGAAGGTTTAACATTTGGGATTTAATTCTTGTTTTATCTCTAAATTTTTCCATTATACACACATGCTTCTTGACGTGCAATGGTGTATGTCCCAATAAACTCATTGTAGGTTGTAGATATTCTAAGTGGAAAATGCATTCAATATACCTACCCTACTGCACATCATAGCTTAGCCTAGTCTACCTTAAATGTGCTTAGAACATTTACATTAGCCTACAGTTGGGCAAAATCATCTAACACAAAGTCTGTTTTGTAACCAAGTGTTGAATGTCTGATGTGACGTATGGAATACGGTACACGATGTAGTGCCGGTTGTTTACCCTTGTGATTGTGTGGCTCACTGGGCGCTACAGCTCACTGCTGCTGCCCAGCCTCAGTACAGAGTGTCGTACTACACATCGCTAGCCCGGGAAAAGATCAAATCTCAAAATTTGAAGTGTGGTTTCTGTGGAGCGCAGATTCCTTTCACACCATCATAAAGTCGGCAAATTGTAAGTCGAACCTTTTTAACTCAGGGATCTTCTATACAGGTAATGCATGCTTGTTGATTAAAACCTTAAATACAGAAGAATACAGAATATGCCTTGTTCCCCATCCTTATTTTTAGTTGCAAAATGGAGAGGTTTCAATTATTTTTTCAAGGTCGCTGCTGGTTAGCTGTGGATCAGAGGCTTGAACTAAGATACTGACTTCAAGAAACATACCTCTTTTTCAAGTGGCTCAAGTCCTCCTCTTCCCATTTTTCTTCAGATAATCATGATGTCATTTCCCTGAAGCTGTTTGAGCTGACGGTGGAGCGAACCCCAGAAGAGGAAAAGCTGCATCGAGATGTGTTCCTGCCCTCCGTGGACAACATGAAGCTGCCCGAGAGTGAGCACAGGGGCCCCCAGGAAATGGCCCATAGCTGGGGAGGAGCTTGCAGTGCTGCACGGCTCCGGAGGGGACTTGCACCCGTAGCTCACAGGGCGGTCTCTGCTCTGTGTATTCCTCTGAGGGGTAGGAGCACGTGCATCTCCTTTTCCCCTTCAAGTTCCAGATGAGCAGCTGGAGGGCTGCTTTGTTTCTCAGTTGGAAAGCGGGGGTCTAAGCTTGGGCTTCCCAGAAACAGATGACAGAAATGGGGGGCCGGACAGCCTGTAGTTTGATCCTTCCCTACTGGGTGGGCTCCCTGTTTTCTGACTTGCTTCTCTCTTGCTTCCTTAGTGACAGCTCCACTGCCGCCCCTGAGTGGCCTGGCCCTCTTCCTCATCGTCTTTTTCTCCCTGGTGTTTTCTGTATTTGCCATAGTCATTGGTATCATACTCTACAACAAATGGCAGGAACAGAGCCGAAAGCGCTTCTACTGAGCCCTCCTGCCACCACTTCTGTGACTGTCACCCGTGAGGTATGGAGGGAGCAGACACTGGCCTGAGCGTGCAGCCTGGAGGGCCTTCTCGTCTCTAGCAGCTGGTTAGGGACTGTATTCTGTCACTGGCGTTTTGAATGCAGGGACCCCGCATTCCCATGGTTGTGCATGGGGACATCTAACTCTGGTCTGGGAAGCACCCACCCCAGGCAATGCTGCTGTGATGTGCCTTTCCCTGCCGTCCTTCCACGTGGGAGCAGAGGCGTGAAGAGAATGTACGCGGTTGTGATGCCAAAATCACAGAACGGAATTTCGTAGCCCAGGCTGCCTTGTTATTTGACTCAGAGAGCCCTTCTACTTCATTTTTGAATCCACAAAGAATTAAAAGCTGGTAACACCACATACTTTCTGACCATCCATTCACTGGATTTTGCATTTTACCCAACCCTCTGCCTACCTGAGGAGCTTTCTTTGGAAACCAGGATGGAAACTTCTTCCCTGCCTCACCTTCCTTTCACTGCATTCATTGATTCATTGTCCTCTCTCTGTGCTACCTGAGCCGCGAAGGCATTTGGATGCCTCTCTGTTGGGGCCTGGGGCTGCAGAACGCACCTGCGTTTCACGGGCTTCATTAGCGGCCCTAGGGAGAGGGGTTTCTGCTTTGGATCCCTGTTCCAGCTCCTGTTCTCTAGCACAGGCCCTGGGTCTATCGACTTCCCCCATCAAGTCTCTTCAGGCCCTCAGTCAAGTTTGGCTAAAGGTTGGTGTAAAAATCCAGAGAAGCCTGGAAGACATCATAGATGCCGTGGATTAACTGTGAAACTGACCAACTCCAGGTCTGATACCAAAAGCAATATTTGTCATGTGGTCTGACCATGTGGAGATATTTCTGGACTTGCTAGAGCCTGCTTAGCTGCATGTTTTGTAGTTACGATTTTTGGAATCCCACTTTGAGTGTTGAAAGTGTAAGGAAGCTTTCTTCTTATATCTTGGGCTTGGATACTGCCCAGAGAAGAAATTTGGCTTTTTTTTTTTCTTAATGGACAAGAAACACTTGCTGTTCTCATGTTCCAACTCTGAGAGCAAGAGACCCTCATCATCTGTGCCTGGAAGAGTTCATTGTCACTGAGCAGCACAGCCTGAGCGCTGTCCTCTGCGTGTCAACCCGTATTCCACTGCCTTATCTGACAAGGGGTCACATGCTGCTCACCTTACTGCCCTGGGATTACATCAGTTACAGGCCAGAGTCTCCTTGGAGGGCCTGGAACTCAGTCCTCCTATGAACCTCTGTAGCCTAAGTGAAATTCTTAAAATCGCCGATGGAACCAAACATGAGCTTCTGACTATGTTCTTTCTTCTAGGAGTGGGTCTGGGGAACAGTCAGGCCTTTATTCTGAGCAGGCCTTTTTTCTGAGCTTCAAGGCCATCAACCATTGTTTTGCCTTCTCCTGGGTTGGAAAAGCCCTCAGCTCAGCTCAGAAGGAAAAGGGGTCACCTTGGCTAGGCATAGCTCTCTGTCTCTTCAGGCTCTTTCCTTCCCATGCACTTAGTTAAGCAGCACAGGCTGGAGTGTTCTCCTGCAGGTGGGATTCAGGTGAGGCAGAGACGAGGCATCCTCCTACCACCTCCCCTCCACAATAGCAGAATGGCTCCAGGGTGCCAGAGGACAAACTGTGACCTAGAGCTTGGCCTTGGAACAGGGAGAACTGCAAAAGAGAATGGTGGTTTTGTCTTTTTTGAGTTGAAGGGGAGATTGTATGGACCCGTGGGAGGACCTAGGTAGGCTCTTGATAGGGCCAAGGCAGCAGTGCAGGTGGAAGGGGTCTCATCAGAGGGGAGGGGTGGAGTGAGAAAGATGGCGCCTGTGGGGTTTGTATGATTCCAGCTCATGAGTACCTTAAGGCTTTTTAAAGAGGTCAGGGAAGACATGAGATGCAGTCCCCACCTGCCTTGGGGACCTTTAGAGAAATGTGTGGTGCAGGAAAACCACCTGACCTGGCATCGGATGTCCTGCTTTTTGGCTCTTGCTTTTTGTTCTAGAAACAAATGTTTCCCATCATGAATGGGCGGAATGTTGTCCTGGGCAGTGTCATCCTAGCTGTGTGCTAGAGGAGGGAGCTGCCTGGTCCGTGGTCGGGCTGTTCTGTACATGCTGTGGGTGAGAGCCAGTGCCTCGGCTTGCTGCTTACCCATAAGGGCCACTTCTCACAATCACCCTTTCCCTCCATATGAAGAGGCTCCGATTCCAAGCCTCTTAGTATGAGAGACCCTGTGGACTAGGGGTGGGACATAAAGACGACGTCACTCCCTGTCCCCGTGAGTCTTGTCTGAAGGGCTGGCATTTTCAGCCTTTCACGCTATCTTCAGCACCCCCAAATTACAAGATGGCTCTCTGTTACGGAACTCGTTTATTTCAGTGGAAAATTATGGCTCTGCTCTTCTTGTTGGAAGTGATTTCTGAACACAATAGCCAGAATATTCCTAGCACCTTGCATCTATCCTAGAAGACAGAAACAAAGAACTGGTAGGCGGCCCAAGGGCAGGGCTGTTGGTAGAGGAGGAAAGCCGGGCAGCGTGGGCTAATTAGTCTTCGGGGGCTGGAAGTTCTGGGAAAATGTTACTCAGGTGATTGGTAGGTCCTGGATGGAGTTTCCACTCATGGTCTGTTGTAGGCTTTAGGTTTGGATCCTGGGTGGGAAGGATGGAAGAGCTGGCATTGCTGGTGTTTAGTGAAGTGATGATATTGAATATTTTAATGGGAGGATATAGCTGAAGTTGAGGTTTGATCCAGCTCATGGCCAAATAGTGCTAGAGAGAACAGACAACAGTTAGCCTGGGGTGGCGAGCTGAAGACGCTCTCCCCAGAGTCATCCTGAGACCACCTCTGTCCTTGCCTGCAGGGCTGCCACTCACCGGAGCTGAATAGATAAAGTTGAACAGCAAAAGTGCTAGAATCGATATGACCATAAAGGCTATGAGTTTGAAGCGATAGCGTTTCCAGAAAACAGAGCAGAAGTGCTGAACTGGTGACCGCAACCAGATGAAAGAGGTGTAGGGACGTCTGTCCAGGAGCCAGGGAAATGGCAGAGAATGGCAGAGAGAACCTTCAGGTCAAGCAATCTGATGCAAAGAGCTTTCTTTTTAAAAAAAGCAACTTCTGGGCTAGGCGCAGTGGCTCACGCCTGTAATCCCAACAGTTTGGGAGGCCGAGGTGAGTGGATCACCTGAGGTCAGGAGTTTGAGACCAGCCTGGCTAACATGGTGAAACCCCGTCTACTAAAAATACAAAAATTAGCTGGGCATGGTGGCAGGCCCCTGTAATCCCAGCTACTCAGGAGGCTGAGGCAGGAGAATCGCTTGAACCCAGGAGGCAGAGATTGCAGCGAGCAGAGACTGTGCCACCACACTCCAGCCTGGGTGACAGAGTGAGACAATTATCTCAAAAAAAAAAAAAAAAAAAACCAACTTCTGCTTACCCCAACTCTCACCCCAAGTCTGTTCTTTGCTGATTGAGCACAGAGCTGTGGGGTGGGAGGTAGTTACCACCTCTCCACGGTAGGCCCACTGGTCACCACCCCACACACACGGAGGAGCAAGACGGATCTGGTGCTTTTGCCCCAAGGACCCTTACAGGGGAGGGTGAAGTGTAGGGTACTGGTTGGGTTCTGACTGGCCTCGCCCGGCTGGCTTGATTAAGGCTTCCTTCTCTGACAGAATCTCCAGGCTCATCTTCACCTTGCCCTAGGAACACCATGGTGAGGGGGAGGCTGAGTTCAGACAGCAGAGCCGGGTAGTTTTAGGGCCTCTTCCCGGGACCAAGAAAGGAAAAGGGATTTAGCTAGGTCCCTAGATGTCTGCTAGAGCCAGGACATGCGGCACAGCAGTCCTAACCAGTAGACACTTTCCCCAGCTCCTACCGACAAGCGCCATTTGCCACCATCGAGGACCTGGCAAGGCCACCAGCCAGTCACAGTCTTCTTCTTAAAGAGGGAGAAGTGCTTGTATTGGAGGAAATAGGGCCACTTGGGGTCAGCGTCCATCATCCTGATGGAGCACTGCTGGGCGTGCCGAGCCGGGAGGGGCATGTCAGACAAATCCAACTCCAGGACCCCTGAGCCCAGAAAAATGACATCAGCAAGAAGGAGCTCTCTGCCCTGTGGTCACAAGCCCCGTGTCAGGACCTCACCTAGGAAGTCGTCGGGGGAGAAGATGTCATTGTCCCAGACCTGGATGATAAGTCGGGCTGGGAACTTCATGGACGTGGCATCCAGGCTCCATATGTAATCCTGGGGCAATGGCGGAAGAGCATGTTACCGGCCTGTCTCCTGGACGTTTCCCTTGCACCCCTCAGTGGCCCTCCACCCAGCAGTGACAGACTATCAAGGGAGAGGGTTTCCACCTGAGGACATGTTTCTGATGTTCTGGGACAGATTGCCAGCCTCTGGAGGGGTGAGGGGAGGAGCTCCAGGAGCCGGAGTCTGTTCGTGTGTGGCCTTTCGCCCCCCCCGCCCCCATGCCCCAGCCTGTTACCTTCTGGCTCTGGACACACACGCGCTCCGCCGCCAGGTAGTCCATGGTAAAGATGAACCGCCAGTTGAAGTTCGCCTCCCCGGTCAGCGAGTGGTAGTGGATATCTGTCTTCTGCATGTCCTTCTCCAGCCCATACAGCCACCTGGGGCCAGAGTCCTGTCACCTGCGGCTCAGGTGCACTGTCCCCATCCCCCGCTGCAGCCCGTGGGAAGGGCGGCCCAGCCGACACCAGGCCCAGCCGGAAGTGGAGAGGTGTCGCATTCAGGACTGGGCCGTGTCAGCAGGATGACAGAACTGGGGATCTGAGGGGCTCGCGGGAGCCTGACTCCTCTTCCTTACCCTTTGATGTAGATGTCGCTCGTCTTCTCTCTACTTAAATTGTCATCCACCAGGTCCACATTGGCGGTTTTCCAGATGACGCAGCGCAGCTCGTACCTGTGGCCACTGCGCTCTGAGGCTTTGCCAAGGAGGAGCTCCCCAGCCGCAGCCTCGGTGAGGGCGGAGAGGCCTGCGAGGCCGCCCTGTGTGCTCTTGCTCAATGTGGGGAATTCAGGGCAAGAAAGCTCCCAGGAGAGCTTCCTCCCTTCCCGGCAGAGAAACAAATGACTGCAGCTCAGTACCTGAGGAGAGTGGTGCCCTGCACTGGGGGGAGGCTGAACTGTGAAATGCAGCAATTGGGAAGTGGGCTGTCACTCACCGTTTAGGCTTTCTGGGGTTGATGTTGACTGGGGGGCCAGGAGGCCCCAGCTTCTTGGGGAAGATGTCCACCCACATTTGCACCTTTCCCTAGAGCCGGGATACATTGGCTGGTTGGGGGTTGCTAGCCTCTGTTCTCAGCAGGCTGGCCTGGGGTTCCCTGTCCCAGGTTCTGAGGTCTGTTGAGGTTGTGTTCCCAACACCAAGGGGTAGGGCACAGAGATACCTGTGAGGCCGCAGGCGACCACCCACCAGCTTCCCCCTTTCTTTCGACTGAGAGAGTAGCGCAGTGAGATTGAAACAGGGTAACTTTGGGGCTGACGGCATGGTGCTGGGATTCCACTTACAACAGGTCTGGAGGGGGAATGCCACTCCCTAGGTCATGCTAGATGGCCTGTCTGGACTGGGCTCCAGATCGGGGTTGGGGCTTCATTTATCAAGCAGCTTGGTGTTGCTTGATAGCCTCGAGTATGAGGAAACCAGTCCAGACTTTCAGGTCATTTTGTGTTATGAACTACAACCTAAGGGTATTAAGCTAGCCACACATACAGAGGAAAGAAGGTAAGGGATGAAAAGGGGGAGAAAAGGAAAGAAAAAGGACAGAACTGCTAACATTGAAAACACACAAATACGTTCTGCCTTTCAGACTACCTGACCTAATTATATTCTTTTGAAGTGACCCATTTGAGAAAACACGTTTAACGAGAATGGTTTTTTATTTTATATGTTTTTTGAGACAGTTTCCCTCTGTCACCCAGGCTGTAGCGCAGTGGCACAATCTCAGCTCACTGCAGCCTCTGCCTCTCAGGCTCAAGCAATTCTCATGCCTCAGCCTCCTGAGTAGCTGGGATTACAGGCACCTGCCACCATGCCCAGCTAATTTTTATATTTTTAGTAAAGAGGTTTTAACATGTTGGCCAGGCTGGTCTCAAACTCCTGGCCTCAAGAGATCTGCCCGCCTCGGCCTCCTACAGGCTGGGATTACAGGCGTGAGCCACCGCACCTGGCCAGAGAATGGTTTTTTAAACATTTTGCTCAGAGAGGACTTTCTGTCTGGAATGTGGTAGAGCTTGAGAAGTTTGGAGAATGAGATGAGCCATTATGGTGGCTGCAGAGTGAATGATGATTAGGTGCCTTTGGGGATTTGTATTTCTCTGTTTGGGGTTCTTTGCTGTGGAGAAGACACAGCCTGCAATTAACAGCCAGAACCAGCGTTGTCACGTCTGCACTGTCTGACCTGAGCGCCACCTTCCCACCCCTCGGGAGAGACTTAAGGCAACGGAGACGTTGACTGGCTCCCTAGTGCCTCCCACAGCTGGTGCATGGCCTCTGTTTCTTGTAGATGACCTTTCCAGCTCTGAAATTCTCCATTCTAAGTGACATCACCAGAACTTCTTGCTTATTAACGTGCACAGCATGCTTGTCTTCCGTGCATGTACATTACCGAATGTTTGGCCTGCCCTTCCCCTTTCGTGGGCTACGTCCTGGGTAGACGGGCATCTCTGTCTCCTGATCTAGCTCTTCCCATAGGAGCTAGGAGCGGCCCCTCCAGTCTCATACCTGGTCGATGCCTGGCTGGCTGTCACTGTACAGTGTGCGGGTCTCCACGTGCTCAGGCACCAGCCCCTGGGTGTGCAGGAGGTGGAGTGCAAGGCGTTCCTTCTTGGGCCCCAAACCATGAACAGTAGGGGTTTGGGGTTCTGGATTGGAGAGGGATGGAAGGAGGGGGTTGTGAGGTCATTAGCCTTCCTATCACCCTCCCCACCACAGCCTGGGTAGGAGTGAGGGGAGAGGGGTGGGCTGGCCTCTGGCTCCAGGGAGCTCTTTCCTGGTCCTCCCCTTTCTCCCCCGAGTCTGTAGCTCTTCCATTCTGGAGCCTCACAGCTTCCAGAGGCCTGTGTCTGCTTTCTGCTAGCGTTCTGCGCAGCTCACCAAAGCTTTGCAGCTTGAATTTTTTCCCGTTATAGAAAACAGCATCTTCCTCAGGACTGAACAGAGGCGGAGGCAGCCCTTTGCGCTTGGCATAGCGTTCTAGGAGGTAGCTTGGGGGCATCTGATCCCGCCATCTAAAGGGTCCTGACCTGGGGGATGTAAGAGGAAGAGGTCTGGAGGTTCGGGTCCTGAAGAACACCGTTGTGAGCTGCAGGCTGACCATGGGTGGAAGCTTGGGTGGAGACTGGGCAGGTCTGGGCCCTGTTTCCTGCCCAGGATGCCGGCTTCTCCCAAGGGAGCTGTGGGCTCACTCTTCCACCCCACCTGACTCCCTTCCCCTGGACAGGCCCACGCTCACTGGCAGTAGGATTTGGAGAGCCCACAGTGAGCTCCAAAGCCAGACAGGAGTCGGTTTTCAAGGTCGATGACTGTGGTTCCTATCTTATCATCAGGTGAAAATAGGTCGAAGTCATAGAGCTGGATCTCTAGGTCCTTCTCCAGGGGGATGTTGCAGGTGAGTTCAAACATCCTAGGGGCGAGGTGTTGAAGACGGCAGAGGATGTGGGCAGTGTCTCTGTGCCCCCCTCCCTGACCGGTGTCCTGGCCCCGTAGGCCCCTTGTTTGTTCATGGAGATTGTGGAGAGCAGAGCATGGGGTAAGCTGCCTTCTGCCAATCGCCATCCCCTGGTTATGGTTGAAAATGACTTTGGATAGGCCTGGTGTGGGGATCTCAGCTCCCCTCCCAGCCAGAGTGCCAAACGGTAGTACCGGCCCACCCATGCATTTGTCTTCTTATCTGTTGAGCACCAGGGCGTGTAAGACGCTGTGGTAGGAACGTGGAGGCTGGCCAGGAGTGCCAGCGTTCTGTGCCTTCTCCGGCCGACTTCCGGTGTGGAGGGGGTGGGAGTGGAGAAGGGGTCTTGGGGGTTGGGGCAGCTCACGTGCCGAAGATGGGATCCAGAGTGTTGGGCTGGTACATGTCCCGGCTGCCAAGCTCTGTCTTGCCCAGTTTCAGGATCACGTAAGGGTCACACTGGGGTCAGATACAAGTGGGGGAGGGATCGGAACTGGGGAGGGTGTCCAGGTGTGTCAGGGAGGGTGGGAGGGGGTGGAAACAAGCCCCTTGCGCCTGTGGGGCGCTGGCGTTGTGTGTGTCGGTAGTTGGAGGGGCTCCCAGAGACGGGATGAGGGGAGCGTGTGGGGCACCTGTGCGGGGCAGGTACTGTTCTTTACCAGGCCGTTGTAGTCCTGGGGCTGCAGGTTGATGGCTCGTACCACGTACACCCGCACCAGGCATGGCTGGGGGAAGTCCTCTCTCTCTGGCCAAGCCAAGAACTGGAGCGGGGGCTTCGGGGCGTCTGGATTCTCAGGAAAGGGGTAGACACGGAAGAGGCCCTGGTGGGGGAGGGGTGTTGGGGTCCCAGCCTGGCAGTGCTGGCTGTAAAGCCGTCCGGGAGGCGCCCCAGCCCGTGTTCAGGAGCGAGAGGGTTGGGCTGAGGGTGGCAGGAACAGAAGGCCATGAGGACAGTGGAGGCAGGCACAGCACGGTGTTCATCAGGGCCCACTATGTTGAATCAGGGTGTCGGCAAAGGACCCGCAGTCAGCAGGTGAGTTCCCCGTCTGTGCCGCTGTGGACTCACTCCACCCCATCTATCCCTTCAGGTTCGGGCTTGTTCCCTGTGGCTTTGCGGCCTTGGGAGGCCAGCGTAGGCCAGAGTGGGGAGGGGAAGGGGAGCGCCCCCTGAGTCCCTGTGGGGGCGAATCTCCTCCACTCCCAGAACTTTCTCAAGCCCTGCTCCATCTTCACGACGAGCATATAGAGCCGGGGCTTTTATTTGTCTTCCGGGGACACAAGGGGCACAAGGAGACGGGGGCAGCTAAGCTGGGGTGGACACACACCTTGAACTCCCCTACCACGGGGCTGTCCAGCTTGGGCTGCTCCTGGTAGAGCTTGAAGGTCTGGCAGAAGTCCTGCAGGCCCTGGAAGGCTGGCACAGCCTCCAGCTCACAGTCGTACACCTGCAGGGGTGTGTGGAACCCTGGCTGTCAGGGACTGCTCCCGACATCAGGAGATGGAGGGACCACCAGCTCCCAGGCCTCGCTCCAAAGCCTCTGGCAGGCAGCGGCCCTGGGGCCAGCACTGTGCACTTCAGACTGTGGCAGCTGGAGCTGTCTCTGGGAGACAGTGCGGGAACCCCCCCGACTGGAGGCTTCCCGGAGGAATCGAGGCTATAGCTCTGCTGGCCTCCTGCAGTGGGCGATTTGATTCCATCCCCCTTTCTTCCCTCCTTCAAACCTTGAGGGTGTGGTAGTCTTTGTACTTGTACTTCAGGGACTTGTGCTCATCTGTGGCCCAGAACAGCTTGCTCCACCAGTCCACCTCGTGCTCATATTCATCCTGGTGGAGAAGAGGATCGTTCTGGCCTTGGGCGGGGGCAGCCCCCGACCTCCCTGCACTGAACGGGGCTGCTCCTCGTTCCCTGGGGCTGAGCCTTCATCACCTCTGCTTTACTGGACTTGAACCAGAACTTTCTGGAGAGGTAGCCTAGGAACTGAAAAAGGAGAGGGTGAGCAAGGGAAAGCCATCGCTCGCTCACGGGCTCTGACTTCAGGGAGGAGAGAGGCGGTCGAGGCCAGGGTTCCCCTGGCGCCCTTGCCCTTGCCTTTCACATAGACCTTTTAATTCAGGGGTCTTTAGAAATGGGATCTAGGGAGCAAGAAGAAGGGGACACAGTTCTTTGTCCTCATTGCCCATAGCTGCAGACTAGATTCTGGAAGGTGCTCAGAAATGCAGAACCTCAAGCCCCACCCTGACCTACTGAGAGTCTGCTTTTGGTGACAGTGTCTGGAGGATTCCTGCACATTCAAGTTTGACAAGTACCACTTTAGAGCAATAGTTGAGAACCCTGAAAGCACATTGGAATCACCTGTGTGGAAGGGGTTGGAAAAAATTTTGATGCCTGGGTCCTACCTCAGCGATTCTGATAGATCAGCGGCCTAGGCCTCAGGAGTTTTAAAACTCTCAGGTAAGGCTGTGTAACCCCAGCACTTTGGGAGGCCAAGGTGGGAGGATTGCTTGAGCTAAGGAGTTCAAGACCAGCCTGGGCAACAGCAAGATCCCTGTCTCTATAATTTTATTTTTTTTTTGAGACGGAGTCTTGCTCTGTCGCCCAGGCTGGAGTGTAGTGGCACGATCTCAGCTCACTGCAAGCTCTGCCTCCCGAGAATGCCTCACACCATTCTCCTGCCGCAGCTTCCTGAGTAGCTGGGACTACAGGTGCCCGCCACCATGCCTGGCTAATTTTTTGTGTTTTTAATAGGGTTTCACCGTGTTAGCCAGGATGGTCTGGATCTCCTCACCTCGTGATCCATTCACCTCGGCCTCCCAAAGTGCTGGGATTAACAGGCGTGAGCTACCACGCCCGGCCTAAATTTTTTTTTTAAGTGGGGGATGGAAGTCTCACTCTGTTGCCCAGGCTGGAGTGCAGCGGTGGGATCTTGGTTCACTGCAACCTCCACCTCCAGGGTTCAAGCGATTCTTGTGCCTCAGCCTCCCGAGTAGCTGGAATTACAGGTATGCACCAGCATGCCCGGCTCATTTTTTTTTTTTGTATTTTTTAGTAGAGATGGGGTTTCACCGTGTTGGCCAGGCCAGTCTTGAACTCGGTGACCTTAAGTAATCTGCCTGCCTCAGCCTCCCAAAGTGCTGGGATTACAGGTGTGAACCACTGCACCCAGCCAAAAAGAATTTTTTTAAAGATTTAAGGCCAAGCACAGTGGCTCACGCCTGTAATTGCTGTACTTTGGGAGGCCAGGGCGGATGGATCACCTGAGATCAGGAGTTCAAGACCAGCCTGGCCAACATGATGAAACCCTGTATCTACTAAAAATACAAAAAATTAGCCAGGCATGGTGGCGTGTGCCTCTAATCCCAGCTACTCAGGAGGCTGAGACAAGAGAACTGCCTGAACCCGGGAGGCAGAGGTTGCAGTGAGCCGAGATCACACCACTGCACTACGGCCTGGGCAACAAGAGCAAAACTCTCTCAAAAAAAAAAAAAAAAAAAAAAAAAGGATTCAAAAGTTAAAAAAAAAAAAACAACTCTTAGGTGATTCTAATGTGCAGTCAGGCTGAGACACCTACAGAGACCCTACAGGCTGAGGACCCTACAGTGCGAGGTGGGCCTCACAGTTGGGCACGGATATCTGGACTCTGTTTAATGAACACCTTTCCTTAGGCCCAAGGGTTACGCCCCGTCAGCAGTGTGGGAGAAGGTGGGCCTGCAGCCCTTACTTACGTCCTGGTGCTTCTTCCCAGACAGCCCTGTGCGGAGAGAGCACAGGGACGAGTCTCAGATGGGGAGAGGGCTGAGAGGAAGCGCCAACCCGTCGGGGAGCAGGGCCTACCCCACTCCCAGTGCGGGCTCGCTTGTGAGGCCTGGGGAAGGGCACGGAGGAAGGGCCGTACTTGGAAGCTTTGGGTGCACGTAGTCCTGAGCCCAGGGGTCACAGAAGTAGGGCTGGAGGAAGTCGATGTTGGCCTGGCCCGTCACGGTCTGTTGGCCGAAGGCCCAGTTGTCCACCACCTTCACCACGAGGGGCAGTGCGTAGGCCTCCTCCGTGGGCATGAGCTGCAGCCCCAAGGAGATGTGAGGAGTGTAAGACCCACAGAAGAAGAGGGCTGCCCAGCCCCTGCCCTAGGGCCTCTTACCACTATGAGGACTAGGACAGACTCGGACTCGGGGAAGTTGGGGTTGGTCTGAAAGTCTCTGATGGGTTCTGTCCTCAGGGACTCTTCCCCGAATTCCACCAGGAGCTGGGGGGAGCTCGCCTTCTTCATGTTCCGAAGGCCCCAGGCCAGGATCTACCAGAATCAAGAAGGAGGGCAGGACAAGGGGCAGGCAGCGCCTCTGTAATGGGGTCCTGGCCAGAGAAGGGGGCTGAGGGGCAATAGCGGTGCAGCAGGAGCTGCAGGGCCAGGGAATGGGGCTGCAGAGGAGCCAGTGTCCGAAGGCGCACAAGGACAGGCTTCCCCGTCCTGTGAGGGATCAGTGCGTGTCCTGGGGCTGGGACGCTGTCCCCCGACCCATGACGGAGGTGCCCTCCGGCCACTGGCTGCATCCTCCACTGACCTCCATAGCCCGCAGGCATTGCCCCTCCTCACCGCTGCCTTGTCTGGCCTCATCAGTTCTCAGGTGTAAGTTCCTGAGGCCGACTGCCTCTGAGGCCCGAAGAAGCAGGAAGTGCCTGAATTTCTCAGGGCCCCTATGCTGTCTAGCTCACTGAGTACCCCATGGCCATTCGGTGACCTGGCACCCTGCCAGGACATAGCTGCACCCTGACTCATGAGGGCCTCCTCGGGGCCCAAAGCGGGAACCAGCCAAGTTGCCTGATCTCGGGGAAGCCGTCAGTCCCAGAGGCCTGACCATCTTGTGCTCTTTGCCACGTCTGCAGCAGGGCACACGCGTTCTGAAGGAGGACCCCCATGCTACTCTCAGAGGTGAGGCGACTGGCATTTGCAGTCAGACAGCATTTGCTGTCACGTAGTCCCTGCGTCACTGTGCATGGAATGTGTTGTCTCTTGGAGCCTCTATTTCCTTCTCTGCAAAGTAGTTCCTGCTGCGCAGGGGCAGCGTGAGTCCGAAATGTGATCACGCACGCTACAGCCCTGTGCCCACTCCCCACTGCAGAGGTTTGTGGTAAAATGATTTCCAGTGTTACACCAGAACCTCTTCATTTCTCTCCTGTCTCCCTCCACCTCCCAGGTAGTCTTTCTCGGGGTGCGAGCTTTGGATCCGGTAGTCAGAAAGCTGCAGCGCACTCCAGACCACCCCCGTCTGCCCTGCCCACCATCCCCATCCCACGTCGCCAGCACCTCAATGGCCATCCTCTTTATCGTGGGCTGGATGCTCTTGGGGAGTGTGTATGCCCCATTCTTCCAGGGAACGCTTAAGATAGGCAGCTGCTTCTCGCCAAGCTTCTGGGGGAGGGCAGGGAGCATGAGGTCCTCTGGGCTGGTCCTACTGCCCTCACCCCCACCTCAAGCAGGTCCCTCAGAGGCCCCACCGAGCCCAGAGCCCCATGGGTAGGGGTTGGCAGGGGGACTTAGGGGAGAGGCTGGGCAGGCCAGCGTCACCAAGCCCACAGCTCTGGATCCTGGTCCCCAGGCGTTTCCTGACAGGGTGGAGTTGGCCCCCGCTGGCTGGGGATGGGACAGGGACAGGCACTGAGCACCACACTTCCCAGCCAGGCCCTCTCAATACCTCAGTCTGGAGGATCAGCTCACAGGATGCCAAGATCTCGCCCTCTTCCTTCCCCAGCTCCTTCATAAGGGGGTGCCACCTCAAGGGGGGCAGGATCCGGTCCTGGAGATCCAGCCAGACCACTGGGGGCCACATGCTTCGTCCCCACAAGCTCTCCTTGCCCTGGAGGGGGGAAGTTCACAAAACACGGAGACCACGCTGGCAGGGCCCAGCTCTGCCCGGGCTTCTCAAGGCAAGGGCGACAGCTGGCAGACGAATTTCCACAGTGCTCTCTGCACGTCAGGCCGCATGGGAGAAATTTCCATACATTTTCCTCTAAAATAAATCCCCTCAGCCACTCTGCAAGGTAGGTCCTCTTCCTCCTGCTCTGCCCAGCCCACCTTACCCAGGAGTCACGCTGCCACAGCTCTAGCACCACGAGCGGCGGGCTCTCTTTGGTGTCCTGCGGGTTCTCGTACAGAAGGAGGTGCTGGAAGATGAGTGTCTGGGCCCATGTGGGGCCTGCAGAGCTCCTCAGGGTTTGGGTGCACTGGCTGTGGTTCAGGAAGACCACCCGAATGAAGGGCCCTGGAGGGGTGGAGGACGAGGGAGCAGTGTCTTGAGCTGGGAAGAGGGGCTTTTCCTGTCTTTTGCTGCTGCAGGCGCTGGACCCAGTGGGGCCAGGAAGGGTCAGGCAGGGCAGCCACTGAGGCCTCCCAGGGCCCCGTCAGAGTCAGCTGCAGAGCACCGGGGTCTGTCACCAGAGGCCAGGCATCATCTGGTCCCATCCACGAGTTCTGTGTGCCTCCCAGGGTTGAGGCCTGGGCCTCACAGAGATGGAGGGCAGGGGCTCCTCTGGAGGAGTTCTAGGGAGGAGGTCACTTGTGGCTGCCCTTTTTCTTTTTTTTTTTTTTTGTGGTCAGAGTTTCGCTCTTTCGCCCAGGCTGGAGTGAAGTGGTGCAATCTCAGCTCACTGCAACCTCTGCCTCCCGGGTTCAAGTGATTCTCCTGCCTCAGCCTCCCAAATAGCTGGGATTACAGGCGCGCGCCACCATGCCCAGCTAATTTTTGTATTTTTAGTACAGACAGGGTTTCACCATGTTGGCCAGGCTGGTCTTGAACTCCTGACCTCGTGATCTGCCCACCTCGGCCTCCCAAAGCGTGGGGATTACAGGTGTGAGCCACCGCGCCCGGCTCTGTGGCTGCTCTTTCATGGCAGCGGCAAGTGGCCTGGCATCAGGGAGAACCACAGGGGCCTCTCGATGTGGGTGGTGAAGCCCAAGGGATACAACTCCCAGCAGACATCCTTGGAGCCCTGCCACCTACTGTCCCCGCTCCCTACAAACAGCACTGAGGACCAGGCTGGAGCACGTGGCTTGTCTCCTGAAACTCTCACTGGGGCATCCTCACAGGACCAAGGACAGGCCCTCCCCACAGGCCCTCTCGGCCCCTACTGTCCAAACAGAGTGGCACATGGTTCCCAAGCATACTGCCCTCTCTCTTGCCCTCATGCCCCACCAGCACTGCCAGGCAGCTCCTCTTCCATGCCCAGCTAAGTGGCCACCACTGGGATGGAGCCCCCTCAGCTCCCGCTTCTAATTCCACAGCACCAGGGTTGTGCCTCAAGAACGGCCCTGCCTCGAAGTTTTGGTTTTGTGTCTTTTCCCCAAACCAGCACCATGAGCTGATTGGGAGACGGGTCTGCATCTCCGTCACCCTCATCCATGCCTCTGTCTTTACACTGCTGAGCAGCTGTGACACCAGGACCCAGGGACAAGGCTCGCAGCTGGTGAGGGGCCAGCGGGCAGGGGCCCTGGCTGGGACTGCAAGCAGGAAGAGGACCCTGCTCTCCTCCCTGAGGCCTCGTCCTCAGCTGGGGACAAGGCTGCCTGCCACCTACCTTGGAATGTCAGGATCTGATTGGACACCAGGTTCCGGGCCTGGTAGATGTAGCAGAAGAGCTGGTAGTAGTGGGGCTCTGGGGAAAGAGGAGCCATGCCTGTCACCTCCCCAGGACCCCAGCGGCTCCCTCTGGCTGCCCCCACCGCTTCCTCACCCCCTGCCCTGGGCACTGGCCTCTGGGGCCATTCAAGCAGCCTCCTGAGCCAGCACTTACTGTTAAAGGTGCAGTAGATGAAAGGCATGTTGGGGGGCCGGGCGTCCTGCCTCTGGGGGTCCCTGAACTGTCTGTCCAGACCCCAAGGCCATGGCTTGCTCTCCTCTTCCTTCCCAGCTCGGTGTTTCAGATCCATGGCCTGTAGCCAGGACAGTCTCCCCTGAGGCCCTCAGGTGCTGCTCCTGTGTCCTCTAGCCCAGGCCCGGTCGCCCTCCTCCCGCACGCTGCCACCCTCCTCCCGCACGCTGCCACCCTCGCCAGCCTGAGGCGCAGAGGCCCTTCCTCCACCATCGGCGCCCCAGCCGAGCCAGGCCCTGGCCTCTCTGGGAGGGGGTTGCAGGCAGGCGCCCCCAGCCTGCGAGTCTTTACCAAGGAGCCCTCCAGGAGGAAGACGGGCGCGACGCCCTTGTCCTTGTCGGGCACCAGCCTGCGGCGCCAGCAGCGGCGGCGGAAGCGGCTCCGGGGCTGAGGGTGGAGGTGGAACTTGGAGCCGAAGGCGTCGTACTCCCAGCCGTCCTCCTCGCCCTCGGCCGGGCCCTGCGGTGGGGAGGAGCGCAGGGCTGTGTTCCCGCAGCCGCGAAGGGGGCTCTGCCCGCAGCCCCCGCCAGGGCCCCCGCGGACGCCTCACCAGCTGCAGGAAGGAGACGGTCTCCTGCTCGCGGCTCAGCTCCCCGCGGTTCCGGAAGCGCACGCGCGCCCAGCGCCGCCGGCGGCACGAGTGGTAGGTCTTCTCCACCGGGCTCCAGACCTGGGGCAGGCCCGAGGGGGGGATGCCCACGCCATACTCCCAGCCTGCGGCGGGGGACCACGGCCCTGAGTCCGCAGGTGCCCGCGGGTTGGGAGGACCGGACAGGCCCCGGAGACAGGCCCTAGAGGGGCATGACTTCCCTCGCAGCCCGGCCTCTTGCCCTGAGCTGTGGAGAGCAGAGTGGCTACACTGTGTCACCTGAATGGCCGGGGACCAGCTGCCCAACTTACAAATGAGGCAGGCGAGGCTCAGAGAAGTCCTGTGACTCGCGCAAGGCCACACAGCCCATAGGCAGCAAAGCTTACATCTTGAGCCCGGGCCTTGAGACTTGCAGCCCTGGAGCTGCTGTGGGTGAATTCAGCCGCCACGTGACAGCCTCCTGGTCACCAGCATCTGCCAGGCCTTGCTCTGGGCCAGGCTTCAGGACACACCGAGGGCCTGTGCTGTCTTAAAACTGGGGCCCATGCGTAGGGAAACGCTGGAGACCCCGCTCTGGAGGCTGGGGGGCCGCAGGAATTGAGGCCTATCCCACTGAGGGCTTGGCTGCTCTGATCCCGCCCTGCTGGCTGCCGTGATTTTGAGGCCCTGGTCTCTCCCGATCCCAACCCTGACCAAAGGACTGACCCTTACTGTCCACTGCATGATTCAGCTCCACCACCCAGTCCTTCTTAAAGTGCCAGCCTTGGGGGCACTTCACGTTCTCCCGGGCCTCTGTGGGCTGTCCGTTCTGCAGGTGGACAGAGAGGGCGAGCAAGGGGCACATGAGCTGGGAGAAGGCCGCCCTCCCTCCCTCTTCCCACACCTGTGTGCGTGCCTGCCGTGGCCGCAGCAGCCTCCCACTCCAGGCCAGACCATGCTTGCCACACCTCATGCCACCAGAGCCATCAGAATACGCTCCAAGGACCTGCCTCTCTGTGCTGGAAACTGCTCCTCCTCATTGTAAAGGGGAGACTAGCATGCTTTTGAGATCAGTTAAACCCACACTGCCCAATACAGTAGCCACCAGCCGCCTGGGGCTACTCTAGCTTAAATGAATTAAAATTCAAAGTTTAGTTCCTTCATCTCACTAGTGCCCCATTTTAAGCACTCAGTGGCCACACGTGCAGATACAGAAGATTTCCATCATCACGGAGAGTTCTACTGGACAGTGCTGGGTTAGCCCATCCCAAGCAGATTCTCTCCTTCGGGGTCAGCAGTACCTTTGAAGGAAGCCTAGGAGGAACCACTGCTCCCTTTTGTTGTTTTTCAGTCTTATTTAAGGTATTTCTACAAACCCCTCACCCCGTCAGTGCTGACAGCCTGCGGGCTGGTGCGCTCACCCCGGGCCCCACGCATAGTGCAGGGCATAGGGCTCAGACCCTTTCCACTGGGACTCCCAGCTTCCAAGGCGCCCCGCCTGGTGGCCTTGCTTGCCCCCCAACCCCTGAGGCAGCTTCAGCCCTACTCACCACGTCTGTGTTTGGGATGGCGGCAGGCCCCCAGGCGCCTCTGATGTCGCGGCCCTGGTTCTCATATACCTCCTCCAGCACCTGGCTCTTGTTGATGTCTGTGTCCAGGAGGAGTCTGGGGGTAGTGAGACCTCAAGTTCCCAGCACACCTCCCTGAGCAGCCCCTGGGGCCGTCTTCTGCTAGCCAAGCGTTCCCATACCTGGTATCCCCATCTGCTCTGGGCAGGACAGGGCCAGCATGCAGGACAGGGTGGTGGGCAGGGCACTTGGCCTGGTGCACCTCGGCCCTCTGGCCCCAGGCTTAGGGGCTGGGTACCCATCTTTCTGGGCTGACGTGGACTGGCCCTCCCAGGTGAAAAGTATCCCCTCCGGTGGGGCCTGCCCCCTCCTTACCTCCTCTGAGGTTCCACTGTCCAGCTGTCCTGCCAGTGCCATCCCAGGGGTGGCTGGAAATCCGTCATGGGGAGGGTCTTGTTCCCCATGACATCTGAGAAGTTGGGGCAGCGATACAGCCCCTGCTGCCCCCACTGGTCTTTATACTTGGCCTGATTCTCATACTAGGGGAGGGAAGCTTGTCAGGGCGGCCGCCTCCTCCAGCACAAAGTGCGGGGACATGGGCCTCCCCAGACCCCCTGACTCTGGGCTGCAGGGGCATCCTAAAACTGTGGTAGCCAGGCAAGAAAGGGCCATGTCCCCATTGCACAGGTGAGGGCACTGAGGCTCAGAGGTCAACCCTGCCCTGGGTCACTCAGCTGGCAGAGTGGAGTGGATGCTGCATGTTTGGACAGAAATATCATAAAACATCTATGTAGTGCTTGGAGGCACAGACGTGGAGAGAGGTCTGGGTTGAAGGGGAGGGAGCAGGGCCTGTGTGCTCAGCGGGGAGAGTGTGGATGAAAAGGCCCAGAGGCAGCAACGGTGGTCAAATGGTGCAGGAGGGCTGGGCTCCCCAGGGTCTGCAGTGACGAGAGAGCAGGCAGCTGCCATCAAAGGCACCGGCCCAGTCCTCTGGTGCCTGCTGAGCATATAGGCCCTGCTCCCTGCTCCTCACCCTGAACCCCTTTCTGCCTCTGCACCTCCAAGACCTACAGAGCTGGTTAGACATATTATAATGTATCCATCTACACGTGCAACTTAGACACTGCAAACATGTTTTAATTCAGTAAGTTAAAAAGCCTGACACTCGGCCAGGCGCGGTGGCTCAAGCCTGTAATCCCAGCACTTTGGGAGGCCGAGACGGGCGGATCACGAGGTCAGGAGATCGAGACCATCCTGGCTAGCACGGTGAAACCCTGTCTCTACTAAAAAATACAAAAAACTAGCTGGGCGAGGTGGCGGGCGCCTGTAGTCCCAGCTACTCGGGAGGCTGAGGCAGGAGAACGGCGTAAACCCGGGAGGCGGAGCTTGCAGTGAGCTGAGATCCGGCCACTGTACTCCAGCCTGGGCGACAGAGCGAGACTCCGTCTCAAAAACAAAAAAAATAAAATAAAATAAAATAAAATAAAAAGCCTGACACTCAAACCTTATTTCCCCTCTGCTGTTCACATGGCTTCCTGAGCCCTGTCCTCCCTCAGGGAGCCCAGGACATCTCCCCTCCTCTGGTTCCAGAGCAGTCCCTGGCCGCTGCCCACCCACTCCCCGGGTTGATGGCTCTGTGGGCAGATGCCTCAGATCCTGCTCCTCTACCGTGCTAGGCCTTCACCTCCTGGGACCCTGCTGGGGCCTGCAGGGGTCCCGGGCTGCCCTGTTGGTGATGGGTGAGGCCCCTGCAAGTCAGAGCCTTGCTCACTTCATGTGCTGTTGATGAACTAGGAGAAAGCTCGGAATAAACCTGCATCAGGGAGAGGGGGATCAGGCCCTGGAGGCCACTTAGTTGCCCCCTTTGTCTCCACACCTGTGTGGAGGATCAACAAGAGACCAGAGCTGGCAGCGTCCAAGATTGCTTTAGTCTCTGCCTCCTCCATCAGACTCTCTCCTCGCCCTCAATTTCGGTCAGGAATTTTTTCTCCCTCTTCAGTGCAGGGCTACTACAGCTTCACCCTCCCTCATCACGCGACATGCCCTGCAGGGAGGCCATCCCTTCCCTGCCAGGCCACCCCACCCCCACCCCTGCATGCCTGCCCTGGCCTTGGGCTGCCGCTCGCCACTCACCGTCTCGGCGTACACTGCCATGTCACCCTGGCAGAGAAGCTGCAGGTCCTTGCTGTCTGTGACATTGCCAAGCCACATGCAGACCCGGAGGTGAGCTGGGAGCACATCCTTCTGTCCTTCACCCTCTGGGTACTGAGTCAGAGGCCGATCGGTCCCATAGGGGCACTAAACACCCTGAACGCCACCCCAGCCACCCCCCAAGTGGGCTGTACCTGCCCCTTCCCCCTGAGCCCTGGGAGCGGGGCCCTCACTGAGCTGAGTGCTGGAGCCGTAAGTGAATGGCATGGAGTTCTGTTCTGCCCTCCAGAGCAGGGTGGCTCCACCTTGGTAGCCTTGAAGCAGAGAGGCTGGGAGTGCCTCGCAGAGGGAGTAGCAGGGACGTTGATAATGGGACTGACGGACACGCCTTGTGAGTTTGTTATGGGCCGGCACTGTGCCAGCTGCCCCGTGTGCATCGTAGGCCTGGATCCTCACAGCCCACCACGAGGAGGGCATGGTGATTGCCAGAGCCATTCTACAGAGCAGCACACTGAGGGCTGGACATGGTCAGGAGTTGGCTTAGGGCCACACAGAGCCAGGATTCATGTCTCAGGGGTTCTTGCAGGATGCAAAGGACTCTGGTGGGCATGGAAGGAGCTTTGCACATTGGTGGAGAGGGCAAAGGGCAGGTACAGTTGGGGCCAGGGAAAGCCCAGAGTGTCCTTACTGTTGGGAGTATGGGCTAGAGAGAATGGATGCAGGCACAGGGGCCAGGCCACAAGGCGGCACCTTCTCCAGGAGGCAGTGGGGAGCCAGGGAGTCTCTGATGGGGGGAGGGAGTGGCCCCCACGTCCCCCCGGGAGGATCAGAAGCAGGGAGGCCACTGTCACGACCAGGAGTGAGGGTGGTCACTCTTATTTATAGAGTAAACACCTAGGGTGTTTAGTCTTATTTATAGCTTGCATCTGATATGATGGGCTGGTGCCAAATCTTACAGACATTCAATATTTTGGAGATCACCCTGTCATGGTCCAGGGAAGAGATGACAAGGGGCTGGACCAAGTGGCGGCCATGAGGATGACGGAGGAGGTGGATTTGTTTTCTGGTTTTGTTTCGTTTTTTTTTTTTTTTTTTTTTTTGAGATGGAGTCTCGCTCTGTCACCCAGGCTGGAGCAGTGTCATGATCTCGGCTCACTGCAACCTCCGTCTCCCAGGTTCAAGCGATTCTCCTGCCTCAGCCTCCCGTGTAACTGGGATTACAGGCAAGCGCCACCATGCCCGGCTGATTTTTGGTATTTTTAGTGGAGACGGGATTTCACCATGTTGGTCAGGCTGGGTCTTGAACTCCTGACCTCAGATGATCCACCCGCCTCAGCCTCCCAAAGTGCTGGGATTACCTGTGAGCCACCGCGCTCACGAGGAGGTAGATTTGGGGAACATTTATGAGGTACATGGACTTGGCATCACCCAACATGCTGGCAGCCACAGACCCCTCTCTTCCTTTGGGGACGGCTTCAACCCCATTCCACCTGGTTAAGGGACCAGGGAAAGAAGCCCCATAGGGGCTGCCCTGCAAGTTCAGGGGCTCCCCCGGGGGCATTTCTCGGCCCTGTCCTCCCCTGAGGACCCCTTGATTCCCACCTGGAGGAGGAGTGTCTGTATCTTCCCACAGAGCCTGCCGGAGTGCAGGGCCCCTGCCCGGGAGAAGAGGACGGAGTGGGCAGGCACCTGTGCGTAGGCCACTCGCTGTTCCTTGGCCACCAGCCAAATCATCACGTCAGGAAGGCCCATCTGGGGCTGCCAAGGTGGGAGAACGTCAGGCCCTGCGCGGCCGGCTCCCAGCTCCAGGCCGGTGTGTGCAGCACCCACCTCAGGGAGCACAGCGTTGAGGCGGTACAGCCAGTCCTCCGCTGTGGCCACCATGTCCCTGGGCATGGCTTGCTTGGCCTTTTGGGCCAGTTCCTGCAGGAGGAGGCTGCGGAGCTGCCACCTCTTCCTGTCCAGGTTGGTGGCTTTGGGCTGGTCGGTCATGCAGGGCAGAGGGCGCCTGTGGCCAGGACAGGGTAGCAGGGGCTGGACCTCTCTACTGCCTCCCAGTGTCACCAGAGCCCTGCCTTAGGCCAGCGTGCCCCTCCTGACCTCAACATCCTGCCCCCATCTGCTGCTGGCCTGGCCCGGGAGCCCTTCCCACCGCTCCGTAGGAAGCCTGCTCGCTGTGCGTCCAGCCCTGGGTTCTCATCCAGCCCTCTACCATGGCCTGCAGGGAGGTGGGGCTGTGCGGGCTTGTCTGCAGGAAGGGGACAGGTTGACTCGGTAGGAGCCTCGGGCGTGGGTGTGGGGCAGCAGGGACCATTCTGATGGGGCGGTCAGGGGGCCTGAATGGGAAGGGAGAAGTGACTCTTGGGGTTTCCTGCTGGGGAGAGGTCTGAGCAGTGCTCCTCCCCAAGGAGGGTGGGGGCAGGTGTTCAGGGCACTGCTCTGAGCCCCCAGGCCTGGATCTGGCTCAGCTCCAGGCCAGCTGTACCCCAGAGTGCCCCTACTCCTACTTGCAGTCCTCCACCAGCTCCCTCAGCAGTTTCTCCCACTGGCAGAGGAGAGCTGGGTCCTTCGGATTCCGCGTGGATTTCAAGGTGTCCAGGTTGGCTTTCTGCCCAGCAGGAGAGAAACGGTAAGAGAGCCCGCCTCAGCATGGAGCCCAGCTGGACAGGCCACAGGGCTGATTGGCCCAAGATGTTTCCAGCCACGACCTTGGGAACTTTGAGGGATAACTTGGTGATATCAGTTCAAGGTCGTCCACAACTCCGAGGCTAGGACCCCCCCCACATCCTTCCTGCTGCCCAACAGAAGAAACAGGTGGCAAGAAGCTGGGACGGGGTAAGACTGGGAAGCAGTGCAGAGCACTGACCTCCACACAGGCGTGAGAAAGTCATGCCGGAGGTCCCAGCCCCAGGTGGCTCCCGAGAACTACACTCCCGACAGCCACCTGAGACCGTTTGTGATCTCACTCCTTCCAGCTTCCATGGTCGGATCTTCATGTCACCTCCATGCCTCCCCCCGACCCTGTCGAACTTCAAAAACCAGCACATTGCTGTGGCTTTGCACGTTATTCCCTTCTACCCCCACCCAGCCCCCAACAAACTCCTATGCATTCTTCAAAACCCTGCTGATGTGTCATCTCTCTTTTTTTTTTTTTTTTTTTTGAGACGGAGTCTCACTCTGTCGCCCAGGCTGGAGTTCCGTGGACGGATCTCAGCTCACTGCAAGCTCCGCCTCCCGGGTTCACGCCATTCTCCTGCCTCAGCCTCCCGAGTAGCTGGGACTACAGGCGCCCGCCACCTCGCCCGGCTAGTGTTTTTTTTTTTTTTGTATTTTTAGTAGAGACGGGGTTTCACCGTGTTAGCCAGGATGTTCTCAATCTCCTGACCTCGTGATCCGCCCGTCTCGGCCTCCCAAAGTGCTGGGATTACAGGCGTGAGCCACCGCGCCCGGCCTAATGTGTCATCTCTTTTGTGCACACCTCCTCTGACTATCTTCTCTTCCTCTCCTCTCCCCACCTTCTCTGACCCTATAGCACCTGGTACCTGCATCTCCATCATAGCCCTAGTTGCACTGCACAGTCACTGCCTGCATGTCCAACTTCCCTAGACGGTGAGGACAGGGGCTGTGTTTAATCATCCTTGTGTCTTCAGTGCATAGCCCTGCTTCTGGCACGTTCTTCTCAACAGTGTGGAATGAATGCATGAATGAGCTGTGTGACCAGTTTCCTGCCACTGTGATGCAGTTTCCCAAGTCTCCCAGCCACACTCTGAACCCTTCCCAGCATCAGCTCCCGCACCACTCACCAGGCGGTCCCGAGTGAAGTGGAGGAGGTTGAGGCAGTTCATGCGGAAGCTGACGTCCTCCCAGTTGGAGGTCACGGCCACGACAGGCTTGATGTTGTACCAGGGCACATAATGGTAGATGTTCCCTGAGACACAGAGACACATGGAGGGGTGGGGTGTCTGGGGGATTCTGGGAGGTCTCTTCTCACTGTGCTCTCGAGGACCTCTCTGGACCACTTCACCCTCAAAGATGCGATTTGCTAACAATGCTAACTGGAGCCCTCCAGCTGGGAGGCTGGGCTGGGGCCTGAGAATGTGAGAATGTGTGCACTTTGACCTTCCATTGTCACATGATCTTCCAGAGTCCCCAGTTTACAGTGGGGAAATCCATGCTAGCAATGGGAAGCAGTTTCCCTGAGGTGGCATAGCCAGGCGGTCAAAGCGCAGGCGCCTAGCTCCAGAGCCCTGGGTTTTGAACCTCAAGCGAGACGCCAGGAGTAGGGGCACGGGGCACGACTCCGGGTGGGACGGGGGCAGGGGGACACGTATAGATAAACACCACTGATGGGTGCCACAGACTGGGTTCCCTCGCCATGTTCCTTATTGAAATGAGGGGGAAGCAAGACCAAACGTAAAGGATTCTGAACCACACTGCCGCCGAGTCGGCCTTCGAGGCAGAAATCCACAGAAATGAACATGTAACCTGCAGAAAATCTGTGAGGCAAGCGAAAGCCAAAGCGGACTTTTGTTCTCCAGATTTCTGGAAACTTCTTGGAGAACTTGTGCTTTTCTTTGGCAACTACAGGAGGAACAGGGGGCAGAAGAGAAAGCCTAGGGCTGACCGGGGCGGGCAGTCTAACAGGGACCGACGTGCTACAGACTGGCTATGCCCCCCACGGAAAGGCGTACTCAAGTCCTAAACCCCAGGACCTCAGAATGTGGCCTTATTTGGAGAAGGGGTGTCTTTGCAGATGTAATGAGTTAGGATGAGCAGGTGGGCCCTTAATGACTGGTGTCTTTATAAGAAGGGAGACAGACGGCAGTTGAGTGAGGACATACACAGGGAGACACTGTGGGAGGGCGGAGGCAGAGACTGGCAGGACACAGCTGCGAGCCCGGGAACACCAAGGACCACAGCAACTGCCACAAGCCAGGAGGGAGCCGTGGCCAGATTCTCCCTCAGAGCCCTCGGCAGGGATCAACACTGACACCCTGACTTTGAACTTCTGGCCTCCAGACCCGTGAAAGAATGAGTTTCTGTTGTCTAAAACCACCTGGTTTGTAGGGCTTTGTTATGGCAGTAATACACCATGCAGAGCACGAGCTCCAAACCCTAAGCCGTTGGGGCCGGGGGAATGAGAACTGACCCATCACGCGGGAGGGGACAGTGGGGAAGCTTGCCTGTCTCCAGTGTGGCTCTCTGGGTGGAGGGGAAGAAATTTTCCCCAAAATTTATAGCAAGTGGGGCCTCACGGACATTGGCATTCAGTGCTCATGTTATCTGTGTAGCCTGAAGAGTGTCCAACAAAAAATTTAATTTAGGCCAGGCGCGGTGGCTCAAGCCTGTAATCCCAGCACTTTGGGAGGCTGAGACGGGCAGATCACGAGGTCAGGAGATCGAGACCATCCTGGCTAACACGGTGAAACCCCGTCTCTACTAAAAAATACAAAAAACTAGCCGGGCGAGGTGGCGGGCGCCTGTAGTCCCAGCTACTCAGGAGGCTGAGGCAGGAGAATGGCGTGAACCCGGGAGGCGGAGCTTGCTGTGAGCCGAGATCCGGCCACTGCACTCCAGCCTGGGTGACAGAGCAAGACTCCGTATCAAAAAAAAAAAAAAGAATTAAAAAATTTAATTTAAAGTGGTCTCAAGTAGATTGTTACCAGCCTGGGTAACATAGCGAGACCCTGTCTCTAATTAGCCAACCAGGTGGCTCACACCTGTAGTCCTAGCTACTCAGGAGGCTGGGGTGGGCTTGAGCCCAGGAGTTTGAGGCTATGATGAACCGTGATCATGCCGCGGCACTGCAGCCTGGGTGACGGAGTGAGACTGTGTCTCAACCAATCGATAAAATAAAGTGGTCATAAGTAAATAAAAATACAGTGGTCCCTGCTTGGCAGTGCCCCAGGTAGCTGGAAGAAGCAACGTTAGCCAGACCTCAGAGAACGCCCACAAAGTTCCAAGAAAGTGAGCAGCTGAGAACCAGTGTACACGCTCCTAACCCAGCAACTCCACTCCTAGGTATACACCCAAGAGAAGGGCTGTACAGCATCATTGAGACACACGGAGAATAATGTTCATGGCAGCTCTCATCACAACAGCCAAAAGTTGGAAACAGCCAAAATAGCTCTCAAAAAATCTCTTGGCCAGGCGCAGTGGCTCATGCCTGTAATCCCAGCACTTTGGGAGGCCGAGGCAGGAGGATCACCTGAGGTCTGGAGTTTGAGACCAGCCTGCCCAACATGGCGAAACTCTGTCTCTACTAAAAATATGAAAAAAAGAATTAGCCGAGTGTGGTAGTGGGCAGCTGTAATCCCAGCTACCTGGGAGGCTGAGGCAGGAGAATCACTTGAACCTAGGAGGCGGAGGTTAAAGTGAGCTGAGATTGCGCCACTGCACTCCAGCCTGGGCAACAGAGTGAGACCCCATCTTGAAAACAACAACAAAAAAGGGCCAGGCACAGTGACTCATGCCTATAATACCAGCACTTTGGGAGGCCAAGGCGGGTGGATTACCTGAGGTTAGGAGTTCAAGACAGCCTGGTCAACATGGTGAAACCCCATCTTTATTAAAAATACGAAAATTAGCTGGGATTGGTGGTGGGTGCCTGTAATCCCAGCTACTTTGGAGGCTGAGGCAGGAGAATCACTTGAACCCGAGAGGCGGAGGATGTAGTGAGCCGAGATAACGCCACTGCACTCCAGCCTGGGCAACAGAGCGAGACTCCTGCTGAAATAAATAAATAAATAAAATAATCTTTCAGCCGGGTGTGGTGGCTCAAGCCTGTAATCCCAGCACTTTGGGAGGCCGAGACGGGCGGATCACGAGGTCAGGAGATCGAGACCATCCTGGCTAACACGGTGAAACCCCGTCTCTACTAAAAAATACAAAAAACTAGCCGGGTGAGGTGGCGGGTGCCTGTAGTCCCAGCTACTCGGGAGGCTGAGGCAGGAGAATGGCGTGAACCCGGGAGGCGGAGCTTACAGTGAGCCGAGATCCAGCCACTGCACTCCAGCCTGGGTGACGGAGCAAGACTCCTTCTCAAAAAAAGAAAGAAAAAAAAAACCTCTCAAAAATCTCTTTCAGTAGTAGAAAGGATAAATAAATTATGCTACATTTACACAATAGAATAATACACAGCAGTCAGTGAATGAGCTATGACTACCCTATGTCATCTGGATCTGTGAACACACTGCACAAACAGAACAGTGAGCAAAAGAAACCAGATACAAAATAATACACACAATATTTTTTATATAATAACAACAATTATTATTTTTTAAAAAGGCAGGGCACGGCAGCTCATGCCTGCTTGTGCCTGCAATCCCAGTGCTTTGGGAAGCTGAGGCCAGGAGTTCAAGGCTGCAGTGAACTATGGTCATGCCATGGAGGTGAGGAGTGGCTGTGGCTGAGCAAAGTGTTTTGAGCTGCATGTATGCGTGCTTGATACTTGCTCCTTTCGATCCAAATGATCTAGAGGGCCTTGGAGGGGTGGGGTGGGCACACGGGCCTCTGAAGTGCTCCCACTCCATGATCTGAGTGCTATTACAAGGGCATGTTTGCTTTGTGATAATTCACTGAGCTTCACACTTCGATTTGTGTACTTTTCCATAAGTATGTTCTACTTGAATTGAAAGTTTACTTAAATTAAAAAATAGTGGGACAAAACACCCAAAATCAGTACGTAAAATACAGTGTGTCGAAGATGGAAAATGCTAAGGAGAAAAGCAGGGAAGGGAAGAAGGGAGATGCTGAGTAATTTAAATAGAATGGTCACCTGAGGACTTTCTACGAACATCTAGAAGAAATCAGCTAGAATGCAGCCCAGAGAGAGGACAAGATGAAAAATATGGAAGAGGCCGGGCACGGTGGCTCAAGCCTGTAATCCCAGCACTTTGGGAGGCCGAGACGGGCGGATCACGAGGTCAGGAGATCGAGACCATCCTGGCCTACACGGTGAAACCCCGTCTCTACTAAAAAATACAAAAAACTAGCCGGGCGAGGAGTCGGGCGCCTGTAGTCCCAGCTACTTGGGAGGCTGAGGCAGGAGAATGGCGTCAACTCGGGAGGTGGAGCTTGCAGTGAGCTGAGATCCGGCCACTGCACTCCAGCCTGGGTGACAGAGTGAGACTCCGTCTCAAAAAAAAAAAAAAGAAAAATATGGAAGAGATTTAAAAATATGAAGGACAGAAGGAGAAGGTCCACAGAGGACAGAGTGAGTTCCGGAAGGAGATATAGTGGGGAAGAGGTAATTTTCAAAGGAAAAATATAATTTTCCAGGATTTTTGGAAAACATCAGTTTCAGACCCTGGCCTTTGTGTGAATGACAAGAATGATAAATAAGCAGGGACGCGTGCCTGGGGCTCTCGGTGTGAGGATACACAACAGCAGTTTTCCTCTCCGACTCTTGGAGAATTTACAAAAGCAACAAGGAGAAGGAAAATAACTCAATTTTCAGCAAAACAAGGAGACAGATATAATCTGCAGACTCAAAATACACGTGAGGACTGCCAAAAGCAACTGTGACCGCCACCGAAGCCAAGGCGTGAAGAGCAGCAGCAGCAGCTGCCTGGGGGACACGACTAGCAGGACAGACAGCGGGAAGCGCTCTGAGTAGGGGCAGATTGCAGAAAGTGCCAGCAAAAACACACTGCCTGAAGGAGCTCAGGACACACGTGAGGCAATGTGAGCCCGCGAACCTCAGAAAACAAGTAGCAGAGAAAACAAAAACACCTGTAATCCCAGCACTTTGGGAGGCCGAGGCGGACGGATCACAAGATCAGGAGACCGAGACCACGGTGAAACCCCGTCTCTACTAAAAATACAAAAAAACTAGCCGGGCGCGGTGGCGGGCGCCTGTAGTCCCAGCTACTCGGGAGGCTGAGGCAGAAGAATGGTGTGAACCCAGGAGGCGGAGATTGCAGTGAG